AATTGAAAAGGCTTGGGATCTTGGACCTCAGGATGAGATTTTGGGAGATATGCCTATTTTTAAAAGCCATAGAAAGATATAGGAGAAATTGAGAATTTTCAGAGCGCTCTCTCACTTCTACACAAGAAAATAATTTACAAATATGTTTAAATTTCCCCAAGCATTTCTTCCAACACATCTTGTTTTCAGATTGGTATTGGAAAAGTATTTGCATATATAGGCATTTAGAAATATTTATTAAAATATTCATAGAGTAGATTTTATTAAAGGAAATGCTATTGAAGTTCTATCTTGTTAGCCAAATAAATTCAAGGAAGCTTAGCTGAAAGTACTGCTCTGATTTCAGCTACTGGAAGGGAAAAAAGGTGTAATTATGTTTAGGAAGTGGTAAGAGGTCACAGGAATTATAGGAGGAAAAATCATGTTTCTTTTTCCTCCAGGACTAGTAGTTTATAAACCATCAGATAATTGAAAATACAGGAAATTTATGGTATGCTTATTATTTCTACCCTGTGTATTTTTACACTGTTTTACACTACTTTAGCAATGACTTAATCATCACTGTGACATATGTAAATTTAACTTCATATAAGGAGACCCTTAGGTTGCTGAATAAGTAGAGATCCTTTGATACATAACAACAACAACAAAAAACAGGAGCAAGAAGTAATGAGGTGCCCATTCAAATGTTGTTATTATGAAAATACTATGGAAAGCTGGGTACATTTTTTAGAAGCTATGAAATCAAAATTTCAACTGACCATAAATTTTAATGTCTTTCATGGTGACCTATTCTTCCTAAGTAGTTTAATATCATTCTTTCCATCTTTTGAAACAAGTGACTGCTATGTAGCTCATTACAGTGTAAAACCAATTCTAACAAATTGAGAGTAAAATGAATTTCTTTCACAAACAAATTAATCAATCTCAGAAAACAACAGACCTATCCAGGAAACACAGTTGGCTTTATTAGCCAACCCAGTTAATATTTAGTATTCTTATATTTTCTCATTTACTATTCTCTGAATTTTAATACAGAAAATATGGTTATCATTTTTGTTTTAATGTATAAAACATTATTTTTTAATATTAATTTCAATAAAATTTAGGTACTGAATTGTGATTGTCTTCAATTGCAAAAAAATTAGTCAGAGTTTAATGAGGAAAAGAATTATCACTCTAACCTAGGCTCCTTTTGGTTAAATTGGAAAGTTTCCCAAACACTTGTCAGATTTCAGGAAAAGACACCTATAATCTGTCTACCTGAGTCAACATGGAAAACAAGCAGGAATAAAGGCACTAAAGCCATCTGTTTAAAATAAGAGTAATATAAACCTTGCCTGTAAGTAATTTTGGTTTAAATTATAGCTTCTTATGTTACATGCACATGTAGATGGTAAACAATAAGAAGCATTGTCATTTAAAGCAACAGATGGTTGGTCAAGAGCAGCTTCCATAAATTGAGCTGCCTAAGAAAGACATCTAAACCCCCAAAGCCTCATGTTCCTACAAAAATGAATAAGAAACTTAAAATGCATGAAAAGACAATGAAATCATAGAATTCTAAAATAGTAGTGAAATCTAAAATTCAGGTGTGAATTCAATGTTTTAAAATACATCTGCTCCTAAAAATAGACAGCTTTTTTAAGACTTAAGGAATATACATGAAAGAAAATGGGAGGGGATTCCAGATACTAATATGTTTATAAATATGTCTGTAACAATAAATATCATAAATATTAAAACTCTAAAACTACTTGAAGTTTGGTACAATAATAGAAACAACAAATGAGGAGATTCTCCAATATTCTACTTAGGGTATTTTTTTCTGAAAATATTGAAAAAAGTGACAAAATTATTAGCAGAACAATCTTGAAGCATTTAAATCTATGATGTAAAGGTAAATAAATAAACATAAATTACACATTTTACATAAGTGTTAAAATAGTTTTCAGTTCAACATCATTTCATTACAATGTTAATGAACTGCCATAGAAACTTAACTCTTATTTATATCAATTATTCTTTGGCAAAATTGGTTTCCTTATACATCTTTTGCTTAAAGTTGTAGAACCTATCAATGTTAAATGAGGACTTACTGTATAAATACACATTTATTATTCAAAATAATCACTCTCCTCCTCAACTCCTATGGGAGGAGTATACCTCTGTCCCAATGATGCTGAGTTTGGTTATGTTATATACTTCGACCTCACACTGAGTTTAGTATACTTCCCCACGTTTTGACTTTGTGTTTGTCCAAGTGAGTTACTTTGACAAATGGGACATTAGCAGAGTAGATTGAATTGTGTCCTCCAGAAAAATATGTTGAAGTCCTAATCTCTATGTTTATAATGTATAATATGTTATATCATATATTATGTAAAATATTATAACATGTATATATGAAAAAGAGAGAGTATGCAAATGTAGCAAAATTGAGGAATCTAGGTGAAGAGCATATGGTCATTTATTATTATTATTATTAAAAATATTTTTATTGATTTCAGAGAGGAAGGGAGAGGGAGAGACAGAAACATCCACGATGAGAAAGAATCATTGATTGGCTGCCTCCTGCATATCCCTTACTGGGCATGTGCCCCACCAAGAATCAAACTGTGACCTCCTGGATCATAGGTTGATGCTCAACCACTGAGCCATGCCGGCCGGGCTAATGGTAATTTATTATCACTTGTTTTGTCAAATATAAGCAAATCAGGACTTAGGTAAGGAGAAGCTCTAACAAAAAGACCATGGCCAGAGCAAAACACTCTGACCACAAAACCTGCAAATGTCTCAAAATCAAACAGAAAAAAGTTGTTTTTTTTAAAATAGGGAGGGTAAACTTTGTATGGGAGTAAAGCAAGGGGATAGAGTGAGCAGATGGCATAATCAGGGTGCTTTCACAAGGAAATTTTTTTCTGTGGTTGGCCAGTTCTCAGAATGAGCCATTTAGTGGGGCTGTTCTGCATTTTAAGGCTTATTTAATTTGGGGGGCAAATTAAAGTTCAGGGACCTATGCAGAAAAGAGAAGCCTGACTAAAGTTTGGTCAAGACAAACTAGTGGGTAAGTAGTAGGCCATTGTAAGCACTCATGACTTTAAATTATTTCAAAATAATATTTTTTAAAAGCTTAAAAGTCAGTACTTAGATATAGTTTTGGAATGGGTCTTTTGATCTCCCAAAAAACTCACTCTTCCCACTATCTAGATTTTGAGTACAAACCTTGACATTACAACCTAGAAGGTTGTAGATTTATTCTGTGTGCCCATCATCCTACTTTCACTGGAAAGGATGAAGACTTAAAAAATAGCACCATGTTTAAAGTTCCCCAGGTTTTCAGAGAAAAAATAAAATATTTTGGAATTTAATCCCATCAAGAGGGTATTACTGAGTGCCCTAGGGGCTAACCAAACAGATTAAGATTCAGAGGAATCCAGCTGAAGAGCAAAATTAAACTGTATAGAGATGCACAGATGTTAAAATAGCTAATGGAGACTGAAGGAACTGTTAACTTCTTCATGTCAGGATGTCATACACATTATATACACTGTTTTCATTCACTTTTTTATCACTTGGAAAATGTGGTTTAGATTTCTCTTAAGTGGCAGTAACTTTCTATAGCATCTAGCATGTGAAACACTGAGCAAAATGGGAAATCACCAAGTGCTATTGATAATGAGCATGAGACAGAGTGTCAGAAGACAGGCTCTAGTTCTTATACTGGGCAAGTGATTTCAGCATTTAGGCCTTAGTTTTTCATTTGTAAAAAAAAAGGGGGAGGGAGAGATTGGACCTCATCTTTCTGAGGTGCCTTATCATCTCAAATATTCTATGATCCTATGATTGTAAAGGAAACTCTCCACAAAAATCTGCCAAATATGAAGTCATTTATATATACAGGGTGTCCCCCAAAATGTACACACACTTTAACAGCTAATAGCTCAATTTTGAAAATAAAATGCATTTTAACAAAACTGCCTTTATAATTATTTAAAGTGTGTGTATACATTTTTGGGGACATCCTATTTATATGTAATCTATTGTTTCATTTAATTTAAAATCCAAAGCCAAATATTTGCCTCCATTTAATGTATCCATTATATATATATGCAAGCAGAATAGTATATTAATTAAGAGCATAGATTTTGCAGACAGACAATATTGAATTGAGTTCGTTCTTTAATCTTTACTAGGTAGAAGATCTTAAAATATCTCCAGTCCCACTTTCTCTGTCTGTAAAAGAAGAAATTATAATGTCTATCTCACAGAGTTGTTGCAAAGATTAAATTAGATAATGCATGTAAATCATTCAACATAGTGCCAGTATATAGAAATCACACACAAGAAATATTACTGCCATCAGATCATTTAAGTGCCAAGCCAACTGCTTCCTAAATGTTTGAGAGTTTTGGGCAAATCAAGAGGGTAGTTGACCAATTCCCCTATCAGTGTACCTACTGGACCCGGGTTCCAAAGATAACCTATGTCTGTCCCCTTTCCTTGTCCTACTGATCACTCCCTCCAAACCATTCTCCCCCATTTGGCTGGGAATCCAGAAGACACTGCAAGCTCTTTTTGCCTCTCCCTTGGTCTCTAGGCGGAGTGCGTGCAGTGTCAGGAGTAGCTTATTCCTCGGTTTGCAGGTTGCTGCGGTGGCCCCCGCCAGCTCCCAGAAACGGTGACTTCAGCTTGAGCGAGAACCCTCACTGGCTTCTCAATTCCCAAGGACTTTTCTTGTGAAAGGGAATTACAAGGCGCGTCTGTCGTCGCTTTGGCAACAAACTTTCAACCTCTACCTGACTCTCTGGATGAGAACATATCTATTAATACATTCGATAGTCTGGGGAGTGCCAATTTTCTTCCAGGTGCAAAACAGCTTACAGGGCTCAGCTAGCCATTGGCTCAGCTGCGCTTAGAGGGTAGCAAAGCCAAGAGCTGCGGTTGCGCGAACCTGCGGAGAAGTGAAAGTTTATCCGCCACAGGTGGGAACCTGCAGAGACTTGAAAGTTTATCCGCAACAGGTGGTGGCCGCTGCACAGAGTGCGCCTGTGAAAACGGATGGCGGTTGTGCGCAGAAAACTCTTGCAAAGCAGGCAAGTGGGGTCCCTTCTCCTTTTTCTGTGCATTTCTGTGGGGGCTGAGGCAACCATCCGCTATTCGGTGGCGGAGGAGATGGAGAGCGGTTCGTTTGTGGCGAATGTGGCTAAGGACCTGGGGCTGGAGGTAGGGAAGCTGGCTGCGCGCGGCGCGCGGCTGGTTTCCGAGGGCAACAGACTGCACTTCCGGCTCCACCGCAAGACAGGGGATCTGTTCGTGAAGGAGAAACTGGATCGGGAGTCACTCTGTGGCAAAGCCGACCCGTGCGTTCTGCACTTTGAAATAGTCCTGGTGGAGCCCCTGCAGTCCTTCCGTGCCGAGGTCAGGGTATTTGATATCAACGACAATGCCCCGATTTTCCCAAACAAGGAGCCGCTTTTAAAGATTCCAGAGAGCACGCCCCTGGGCTCACGTTTTCCTCTGCAGAGCGCCCAGGATCTGGACGTGGGCCTCAACGGTCTCCAGAACTACACCTTGAGCGCCAACGCGTATTTCCACCTGCACACTCGCTTCCGCGGCCACGGGCCTAAATACGCCGAGCTGGTGCTGGATAAACCCCTGGACAGAGAGGAGCACCCGGAAGTCAACTTGACAATTACGGCGGTGGATGGCGGGTCCCCGCCCAAGTCTGGCAGCGCCCACATCCGCGTGGAGGTCCTGGACGTCAACGACCACGTGCCCCAGTTCTCCAGGCTGGTGTACCGCGCGCAGGTACCGGAAGACAGCGCCAATGGTTCTTTGGTGGTCACGGTGACGGCCACAGACCTAGACGAGGGCTCCAACAAGAAGATAACGTACTCTTTAGCTCAAAACCCAGAAGCAATTCTCCAGACTTTTCAGATTGACTCTGAAACGGGAGAGGTTCGACTGAGAGGGTCCCTAGATTTTGAAGCGATTGAAACCTACGACATTGACATTCAAGCTACCGACGGAGGAGGTCTCTCTGCCCACAGCAAAGTCCTGGTGGAAGTGGTGGATGTGAATGACAATCCTCCTGAAGTGACTGTCTCCTCTGTGTCCAGCCCTCTCCCTGAGGACTCCCCACTACAAACTGTAGTGGCCCTTTTTTCTATTCGAGACCGGGACGTTCGAGTGGGAGGAAAAATCACCTGCTTTCTCAGAGAAGACCTTCCCTTTGCAGTCAAACCTACGTTCCGGAATGCTTATTCGCTGGTCACGGACAGAGGCTTGGATCGGGAGGAGGTCTCAGGCTATAATATCACCCTTGTTGCCATGGATACCGGACCGCCCAATTTGTCCACAGAGACTGTAATAGAGGTGCTAATATCTGACATTAATGACAATCCCCCAGTGTTTCGGGAGGACTCCTACATCTTGACTGTTCGGGAAAACAACAGCCCTGCAGTTTTCATTGGCAAAGTCCATGCTGAGGATTTAGATTTGGGTGAGAATGCCCAAGTAACATATTCTCTGCTGCCTCCAAAAAGTGGAGATCTATCAGTCTTTGCTTACATCTCCATAAATTCAGACAACGGGAAGCTCTATGCACTGAGAACCATGGATTATGAGGCCATTCAAGATTTTCAGTTTGTGATAAAGGCAACTGATGGGGGCTTCCCATCGCTCAGTAGCCAGGTTACTGTCCGAGTGGTTGTCCTGGATGACAATGACAACCGCCCAATGATCTTGTACCCATTGCAGAATGGCACCTTGCCCTGCAATGACCTGGTGCCCAGGTCTGCAGAGGCAGGCTACCTGGTGACTAAGGTGGTGGCTGTGGATGGTGACTCGGGTCAGAATTCTTGGCTTTCATATCATCTATTTAAGGCCAGTGACCCCGGGTTATTCTCTGTTCAACAACAAAATGGGGAAATCCGTACATTGCGGCAGATATCTGAGAGAGACCCCATGATGCAGAAACTTATCATTCTTGTTCAGGATCATGGCCAACCAGTTCTTTCCACTACTGCTTCACTCAACATCCTGCTGGTAGATGGCTTTTCTGAGCCCTATCTGCAGTTCCGGGATCCATCCAAGCATCCTACAATGGTAAATCCATCCACTAAATATTTGGTCATTTCTCTGGCTGTGCTTTCCTTTCTCTTTCTCCTCTCTGTCACAGTGATCTCCATTATACACATCTGCCAGAAAATTAAATATAGAGAAAAGATCACAATTCAGGAGCATTTCTATGATGACTGTAATTTCCCCAACCACCTGGTACAAGGAGGAGCCCATGGACCTTTATCCCAGCCTTGTCCCTATGAAATGTGCTCAGCCACTGGCACTGGCACTAGTGAGTTTCGGTTTCTTAAGCGCTTTATGCCCAACTTCCCCTTCCCCCACGGCACTGGAGAGGTGAAAGCAGAGGCTGGCTCCAGTGTACCACCAGATTCTGACAGGAATAGGTCTCTGGGGTCAGAGGGTCATGCCCGAGTACCTGATGACTATATGTAGCCAATATTCATGTCTCCCCTGGAAGTTCATTAGTGCTGGCCCTAGAAATGCTTAGTTCCATAAAGATATCCTTTTATTTTACCTTTAAATTATTTTCCAGTAGAAAGGTATGCATATGTAGGGAAGAAAACTGGCTTCTAGTTTTGATGTAATATCAGGAAGCAATTAGGTTTGAGAAACAGAAATATAGCTTATCATTATTCAGAAATTTCTAGATTTTTGTCCCTTGATGAGTGGAGATATCTTTGAATCTACATCTTGGGTGTCATTTATTCATAATCATGCAAATGTTTGGTGAATGGTGGTCCTCATAAATAATTGGATAAAGGGAAAAAAGGATTTGACTTATTTTTCAAATGTGAGTATAGGGCAGATTTAAAGCTAAAGAGATTTAACTCAGGAATGTTCTTCAATGGAATACTATTCAGCCATAAGAAAAGATGAAATACTGCCATTTATGACATGGCTGGACCTTGAGAATATTATGCTAAGCAAAATAAGTCAGTCAGAAAAAGCTAAGAACCATATAATTTCATTCATATGTAGGATATAAAACTGAAACTCATAGATGCAGTCAACAGTATGGTGGTTACCAGAGGGAAGGGGGTAGGAGTAGTAAAGGGTAAAGGAGGCCAAATATATGGTGATGGAAGATGCCTTGATTTTGGGTGGTTGGTACACAATGCAATATACAGATCATGTAACATAGAAATGTACACTTGAAACCTATATAATCCTTATTAACCAATGACACCCCAATAAATTTAATTAAAATAAAATAAAATAAAATAAGTTAAGGTAGATGTATATTTCTTTTTTTTTAATGGTTTTATTTATTTATTTATTTATTTATTTATTTATGTTCAGTTGATCAGCAGCCTAGACAGGTTCTCTAGCCAGGTTCTCAGATGTATATTTCTTAATGGTTGTTTGGAGTCTTAGGCAAGTCCCAAACCTCTCTTTTTACACAGATGTCTATCCCACTCCTTATGAGAGAGCTCTTATTTGAATGTGTGGAATGAAAAGTGGATGATAAAATAATAAATTAAGCTTGTTGTAGTTAACAAGTGCTATTGAACAACTACAAACTAAAACGATATTAAAGGAAAAAGAGTTCATTAATACCAATTAAGTGGACTTAAGAAAAAATACATTTTCAGATGTTACCAGATTAGGATTTAAGCCATTTTCCCCTCTGAGCATTCTAAAGGGATGACATGGAAACAGAAAGAGTTATTTTCTAATAAATCATTCATAAAATGAAATGGAGTAGGGACACAAGTTAGGCTTCTTTTTAAAATTATTATTTTCTTTTTATTTTATTTTTCTTTATTGATTAAGGTATTACATATGTGAACTTATCCCCCCATTGTCCCCCACCCCCACTCATGCCCTCACCTCCCTGGTGTCTGTCTTTTTAAGCCATTTTCCCCTCTGAGCATTCTGAAGGGATGACATGGAAACAGAAAAAAAGTTATTTTCTAACAAATCATTCATAAAATGAAATGGAGTAGGGACACAAGGTAGGCTTCTTTTTAAAATTATTTTTTTATTTTTCTTTCTTTTTATTTTATTTTATTTTTATTTTTTTTATTGCTTAAAGTATTAGACTTTATATTCTAAGCGCTGCCAGACAAACAGCTTGAGATTTGGGGAAAGGGCCAGTGGGGTTTGGGTGGTGTGATGTGTTGCTGGTCAGCTGTGGCCCATTCGCTTTTTTCCAGCTCTGGTCAGAAAGATTAGGAAGCTGTGAAAGAAAAGTGAGGTAGTGACTGACTCATGGCAAACCTTGTGGTTATGATGTTTAACACAGTGACTCACTACGAAAGTCAGAGTACCTTAGGCTTGGGGAAACAAGCTCAGTCCCATAACTCCATAGCCTAAGTTTTACTGATTGTTTGCTGAATGAAGACCAGTTGGTTTTCTAACTGATAAAAATTTCTCCTGTAATGTATTCCTCATCAAAGAAAATTAGTTTTCCTTCTGTCTACACATTTCCCCCTTGCCTGCTATTTCCCCCTTTTCAATACCTAACCTATTTAAATTAGTATATAACATGCCCCTGTCAATTTGTTCTCTCTAAGGGGGGAGAGGGGGTAATGTTAAATGGGTCCTTAGCTTAATTTTCCTGTAATTCAAAAATTGGATCCCCTCAGGTGCATTGTAAGAAAAAGCTACCATCATTTCATTCAAATGCTGGTTTCTTTAAAAAAAAAATCTTTTTATTGTTTACTTATTATTTTATTGATTTCAAAGAGGAAGGGAGATGGAAACATGCTCAAAGTCACTAATCATCCGAGAGATGCAAACCAAAATGACAATGCAGTACCATCTCACACCTGTCAGAATGGCTATCATCAACAAATAACAAGTGCTGGCAAGAATGCAGAGAAGAAGGAACCCCCATGCACTGCTGGTGGGAATGCAGACTGGTGCAGCCACTGTGGAGAACAGTATGAAGTTTCCTCAAAAAACTAAAAATGAAATCCCATTTGATCCAGTGATTCCCACGTCTAGGAATATATCCCAAGAAACTAGGCTTCTTTTTTTAAAAAATATCTTCCCATTCACCCACCCACCCCCGTATTCCCTCTGAGATGGTTCCATGCTTCTATGTCGCTGAGTCTATTTTGCTCATCAGTTTATTTTGTTTTCAGATTCTACATATGAGTGAGACATGTGATACTTGTCTTTTTCTCTGGCTTATTTCACTTAGCATAATAATCTCCAGGTCCCTCCATGCTGTCTCAAAGGATAAGAGATCCTTCTCTTTTGTTGTCGCATAGTACTTCATGTACCACAGCTTTTTTTTTATCCTCTCATTTACTGATGGGAACTTGGCCTGTTTCCAGATCTTAGCTATTGTAAATTGCATTGTTATGAACATAAGGGTGCATACAGTCTTTCTGAATGGTGTTTGGAGTTTATTAGGATATATTCCTAGAAGTGGGATCACTGGGTTAAATGGCAGTTCCATTTTTTATTTTTTGAGGAAACTCCATACTGTTTTCTATAATGGCTACACCAGTCTGCATTCCCACCAGCAGTGTACTTGGATTCCATCTTCTCCACATCCTCGCCAGCACTTGTCATTTGTTATTTGTTGATGGTAGCCATTCTGACAAATAACCTCATTGTCATTTTAATTTGCATCTCTCTGATGATTAGTGACTTTGAGCATTTTTTCATATGTCTCTTGACCATCTGCATGTCCACTTTGGAGAAGTGCCTATTTAGGTCCTTTGCCCATTATTAATTGGATTGTTTGTCTTCCTTTTGTTAAGTTGTATGAGTTCCTTATATATTTTGGAAATTAAACCCTTATGAGATGTATCATTGGCAAATATGTTCTTCAATACAGTGGGCTCCCTTTTCATTTTGTTGAAGGCTTCTTTTGCTATGCAGAAGCTTTTTTTATTTTGATGTAGTTCCACTTGTTTATTTTCTCCTTTGTTCCCCTTGCCCTAGGAGATGTATTGGCAACCATATCGCTATAAGAAATGTCTGAGGAGATTTTGCCTATGGTTTCTTCTAGGGTTTTTATGGTTTCACAACTTACATTTAAGCCTTTTATCCATTTTGATTTTATTCTTGTGTATGGTGTAAGTTGGTGGTCAAATTTCATTTTTTTGCATGTACCTGTCCAATTTTGCCAACACCATTTATTGAAGAGACTTTCTTAACTCTGTTGTATGCTCTTGCCTCTTTTGTCAAATATTAATTGAGCATAATGGTTTGGGTTGATTTCTGGGGTCTCTGTTCTGTTCCATTGGTCTATATGCTTGTTTTTGTGCCATTACCAGGCTGTTTTGATTACAGTGTCTTTGTAGTATAACTTGATATCTATTATTGTGATCCCTCCAACTTTGTTCTTCTTTCGCAAGATGCTGCAGATATTTGGGGTCTTTATTGGTTCCATGTAAATTTTTGAAGTATTTGTATTAGATCTGTGAAATATTCCATTGGTATTTTAATAGGGATTGCATTAAATCAACAGATTGCTTTGGGCAGTATGGACATATTAATAATGTTAATTCTACTATCCACGAACATGGTATATTCTTCCACTTGTTTATACCTTCACTATCTCTTTTTTCAATGTCCTATAATTTTTTGAGTACAGGTCTTTTACCTCCTTGGTTAAGTTTATTCTTAAGTATCTTATTTTTTGTTTTTATTTTATTTTATTTTTTAGTTTCTCTTTTTGAGAATTAATTATTGGTGTATAAAAATGCCATCTTAGTTTCTCTTTTTGAGAATTCATGATTGGTGTATAAAAATGCCATCAATTTCTGGGTATTGTATCCTTCTACATTGCTGATTTAATTTATTAAATCTAGTAGTTTTTTTGGTGGAGTCTTTAGGGTTTTCTATGTACAATGTCATATCATCTGCGAATAATGGCAATTTTACTTTCTCCTTTCCAATTTGGATCCCTTTTATGTTTTCTTATTGTCTGATCACTGTGACTAAGACTTCCAGTACTATGTTGCATAAGAGTGGTGAAAGCAGATAACCCTGTCTTATTCCTGTTCTTAGGGAAAATGGTTTTAGTTTTTGTCCATTGAGTATGATGTTGGCTGTAGGTTTGTCATATATGGCCTTTATTATGTTGAGGTATGATCCCTCTATTCTCACTTTGCTGAGAGTTTTTATCAAAAATGGGTGTTGGAATTTGTCAAATACTTTTTCTGCGTCTATTGATATGATCATGTGATTTTTGTCTTTCAATTTATTTATGTGATGCCTCACATTTATTGATTTGCAAATATTATACCAGCCAGCCTTGCATCCTTGGAATAAATCCCACTTGGTCATGGTGTATGATCTTTTTAATATAGTGCTGGATATGATTTGCTATTATTTTGTTGAAGATTTTAGCACCTATATTCATCTGGGATCAATATCCTATAATTCTCTTTCTTTGTAGTGTCTTTATCTGGTTTTGGAATTAGGATAATGCTGGCCTCATAAAAAGAGCTTGGAAGTGTTATTTCCTCT